TAAATAACCCTTATTAGACTGGATTAAAGTCATTAGAAAAGGTAGAACTCAACTACAAATTTGGGTCCTACCTCTCACCTCCTAAAAACTTACAATAAATGCATGAAAGAGAGAGTAGAAGGGAAGGGGAACCATACCCAAGGGTTTGCTAGTTCCAAAGAAGCCTTTCTTGACTGAAAATGCAAGCCTTGGTAGAGCCTCTAATTTCTCTCTTCAACCCTCTCTCAAAAACCTCTCTTTTGTTTTAATTTCAAAATGCAAGTTTGGATTTTAAAATCCATTGCATTAGCCATGGCACACTATGCCTTCCACCATAATGGATGACTCAATCTAGTAACCCTATTTAAGCCCATCACTTTGGGCCCAAATTGGCTCAATTACTCCTTAACCCCCATTCTAAGATCCTTGTAGGGTCCAATAGACCCAAAGAGTCATCCAAATACCCCAATCAACTCTCAATTACCATGATTACATAATTAAACTTCTCGATTAATCTAGTTAACTCTCAAAATAAATTTGGAGATGTTACAATCCTTAGCCCATTTTTTAATATCAGAGACAAATAATTTAGAAATTTTAAAATAACATAGAGATATTTTAGTCAAGTATAATTTTCTTTCTTCTCTTCCCTCTGAAAAATACCAATTTGGAGTAGAATTCCAAAACTTCTCAACCAGTCTATTTTTACACGAGTTTTGGAACCTATGTAAAAAGCCATTTTTAACATATGTAAAATGTCTTTTCTGTACTAGTGGAAGCTACTTTCTCTTTATGAAAATATAAAGTAAATGAAAAATTCCTTCACGAGGATCCTAGTTGGTTCTTTAGTCATCCATAGTTTAGTACATTGGGAGGTGTAATGTTTGTTGTTTTTTTGGTCTTAGTACCTTTTACTGATATGAGCCCCACAAGTTTGCTCCAAATTAGTATAATTTTACATTATTAGGAAACTTAAATTGATTGTTGCAAGTTTGTTAATTACTAGATATTTATCCAATTAATTTTGCATTGTTGGGAAACTTATATCGGTTCTTGCAAGTTAGGTGATTATTGGATATTTATCTAGTTAATTTTCCATTTGATTTTTTATCACTGCACAAATAAGTTAGGCTTAAAAAAAAAAACATTCGCTTATAAACAGACTTTGGATTTTATCTAGGATAAATTAATGCTATGTTAGTAGGAACTTTTGCATTTCTTCCATAAAAGTATTTAGCTAGGTGAAACAACACTATCAGTTTATATTTCAGTGTAGTATATGTTAGTTACTGATTGTATTACATTATTGACGAAGAAATTTACTGGTATTTTTATAAATTGCAACCGGGAAGATGAAATGCGTAATCCTGTTCCTTTACATCTAGAACCTGCAGCTCTTCCAAGAGAGATATTGTGTAGTTTCCCTATGAGGATAACATATGACAAGAACATTATTGAGAAGAACTTGCATAAAATTTTTAGATGTTGACAAGTGGATCAAAATTGTTAGCATGCAGCTTGAAATGCAGACAGGACTATGGCATGGTGTGTTGACTCCTTCTATAAAGCTTCGATACACACCAAAAGTGTTGGAATCATGGATCTGCCTTTAATAGGAATTGGATTATTATGTCAAAGCAATCAGTGGATCTGACATTATTGTGGTAATAATGAGTTAACTGAAATCATAAATTAATGTCCGATTAATTTCTGATTGAATTTCAAAATGAAAAATATTCCTTTGCAAATGGTGATTATTCTAATGAGTTTATTCTCTCCATGATGAAGTGAATTAATATTGATTTGATTTTCTTTTTTTGTGGTGGCCTTCCCTCACTATAAATATAGACAAGTGGCTGAAGGAAGAACTCACCCTTAAATAAACAGTTCTCTCTCAATGTTCATTCTTCCGCTCCCTCTGTTTTCTCTCTTTAGTGCATTTGTTGCATATCTCAGTTTAAACTCTAGTAGTCTAAACTCGTGTCGATAATTAGGTAAATTTTACTATGCCTGGATCTAATAAGACTTTGACCCAGCTCCTTTATTTCATTTATTATTCATTTAAAATATTCCTTCAATGTCATCTGAGTCGTGTTGTTTCTATGGCTGTGGTTATGAGCATACTGATAAAAAAATATTTTTATCATTGCTCTATTTTTTTTTATTATTTTATGCTTCAATGTGCATCATGCATAAACTCTCTTTCCCTAGCCTTTTGTTGATCAAGGGGCTTTATTATCTTGATTTAGGACTTGACTGGCTTATCAACGTCCTTTATTTTCATGTTCCTCACACGTGGCTTCCCTCTTCGGATTGAGTTGATGGTCAGCATGGCGGCACTAACCGCAACTTATTGTTCATCCATGTACGCCATCATGCCCTCCAGCGAAAATCTCATCACTATTTTCTATGGACTATCTGTTGGTCTTCCCATCTCCTTACCTTTCATAGTCCGATATTTGAGAGACTCCAAGTGTGTTCGCAAATTCAGGCCTGATATTAAGCGAAACCCTGAAAGGGTTACGGAACCTTCACTGCACTGAAAGGGTTAAGGGACTGTGACCTGCAGGCCACACTAGCACATACCAGATATCATATCCAGGGTAAAAGAGTAAATTGAACCCTAAACTATAGATATAGGACTATCTAGGGTTCTACCAATTAAATTTTCTTGATCCTTTTCTATAATTTTTTAAGGTCTTTGTCTGTAATTTTTCAATCCTTTTATGTTATTTTCTAGTCAATTAATGATTAAAATTAACTTTTTATTAATTATAAGGGTCAAATCATATTGTTTTTAAATGTTGAAAGAAAAAATTGTACAAAAAAAAATTTAGAATTTTAGATGCTTGTGTACTTATAATTTAAGGATTAATTTGCCATTTAATCCTTGTATATTATGCGTGCGCGTCCGAGCGTACCCTCTCTCTCTTAATTTGTCAAGGGGCTATGGCTTAGTTTGCTCAACTTTATGCTTTCTTTCCATCTTTGTCCATCTGATTCTGTATTGTCGTGGGTCTTATATATGGTTTACACTTGTGTTTGTTTGTCCATTTACAATAATAATAAAAATTAATATGTGAATAAATAAATAAATAAAAAGACAGATCTTTATGTTGTGATTGTGTATATTTTGTTTGTTTATTGTTGTAGATTTATTTTGCAAAAATATTGTAAATACTCTCTCCTATCCTTATTATAAAGCACCTCTAATAAACACCTCACAAAAATCAAGGAAGAGTGATTAAGTAATTAACTTTATCTTAAAAAAGAATAAAATTTTCCTCCCTCTTACTTATATTTAAATGAAAAATTTTTAAATTTGCCTTATACTCTCTTTCACAATTGATATTCCACCAAGTCTCTTATATTAAGATCCACCAAGTCTCTTATATTAAAAACCATCAATTTCTTCAAGAAAGTACTTTATAATAAGAACGAAAAGGAGTATTGAACGTGTGCGTGTGCTCGTGCATATATATATATATATATATAGAGAGAGAGAGAGAGAGAGAGAGAAATATGTTTTCTTATGTACTCCTCTTTTTCCTTATCATAAGATATTTATTCATGTGTCTTATCTTAAGGACTTTGGCTGATGTTATTTACCTTAACTAGAATCAAACCCCTGTGCGTTGCACGAATGATGATTAATGAAGATAAAATCAACAATTTTAGATAAAATGTCTAGAATTAGTAGCTCGACATTAGACTTATGACCAAAAATAGGGAGAGAAATAAAAATTTATTTGAAAAATAATTAGAGTCTTATTTTAAATTAGAGTCAAACACCGTGCAGTGCAGGGATGTGATTAAAATTTATTTGAGAGAAATAATTATTAAAATAATTTAAATTATAACATGAATAATAAGTAGTTCGTCCTCACACATACGTAAGAAGATGAATCTTAAGCACGATAATATTATTTAAAAATATTCTCTTTTTATATATAAGACTATATTTTTATTAATTTAAATAGTTGCAAATAAAAATTTTGATTATTTCTATATTTTCAATTTAAATGTCTTATTTGTCATTAAGATTTCTGAACTTATGATTATTTGAATTACTATATATATAATTTTAAAAAAAATTTATTAGAAATCTAACTATCATAAATTTTAAATTTCGGTGCTTTAATGTCATTCTCCCACAAAAATGTAGTCTGTTTTTTCCCCCTAACAATATGGTTTTTTACAGTTGATAATGTAAATGAATTATGCATATTCGTCATTTAAATTACATAAAAGATTTGAAATAATGTTAATGAATAAATATAACAATTTAATTCCCGTGCCTTGCATGGAAGATAACTAATTAAAATGGACACGACGTTTTAAATGAACGAATATTGGCGGAGACACATGAAATGAAATAAGTGAAAGAAAGAGGACTTCTTGGACATAAAGCATATTCTCAATTTAAATAATGTTCCTGAATTTAAATAATGTCAATGAATATGTAAATTTTAATTTTGAAAATGTTAAATGACAATTTCTCTGTAAAAAAAAATAATAAACATATACTTGTATAAAACTCAAATGTAAATCAAATCAATACTATAAGTTGGATGCGTAAGACATTAAATTCCCTTCAAATTATGTTTTCTTAATACTTAATGAGATAGATTTACAAGATAAAATTTAACCCCATCCATTGTAAGATTACTAATCAAACTGATTAAAAGTATAATTAAGTTTATTTTTTTTCATATTGACACAACTATTATTACTAAAAAAACCTCTCAAGCGTTTTCCACCAGTTTTATTCTTGGATTGACTGTTAATATTAAACTATTCTTTTTTAATACCTATGTATTTTCTATAGCAAATAAACCATTAAGTAATAATTTCTCTAGAATAAATTTTTTAATATAAATTAAAATTCTTAGTAAATGGAATAGTAACAAAGGAAGTATCACAAACCTAAGTACATTTATCAAAAATTTATAATTTGTGACTTTAGCTATCAACTTTCTTTTATCAAAAAATGTATAAAAGAACCGCACAAACAATTGTAGTTTGTCAATTGAAATGAGCAATCTCATTATTAATCTCAGTGTGTAAACAGATCAAGAGCTTTTAAAAATTATCAAACTCAGCATGGTTAACACATTGCTGTGGCACACAACACCCACATTATTTATAAATAGGTTAATGAGTGAATAAAATCTTGAACTCTTATTCGAAATTGCCCTAAACCTTGAATTCTTAAAATATGTAAAATAAACCCTAAACTTTTAAATTTATAGCAAAATAAACCCTAATAACTTTTTTAACACCGTTTTTGTCCATACAGATATTGTAACAGTCAGAGTTAAATTCATAAAAAATAAAGCCTGAACAGTACCTACATAGACGGTAACAGTGTTAAAAAGTTAGCTATCAGAATTTATTTTGTTATAAATTTAAAAGTTTAGAGTTTATTTTGTACATTTTAAGAGTTCAGAATTCAGGACGATTTTCCAACAATAATTCAAGATCCTATTTGCTCATCAACCCTTTATAAATTGGCTCCTCAACGTGTACAAGCACTTGATAATACTTTTATAATCTCAACTGCCTCATGGAAGGTAAAAGCAGGAAATATAGCATACTTGGTTGAAATCCATTGACCTCCTCTAGCTTCCGCATATAATAATCGGATACCATATCCTGCAACAAACCGGTAAAGTATCCCCACCACTGATAACCAAGGTTCTAATCCAACTATGTTTCGCCAAAAAGAGAAGAACAAACTACATCGACCATTCTCTAATGCTACTTTCTCATGCAATAGACCGTATGCAGGTAAATATTCCACTCTGAACATTTTCTTCCACCCCCCCCCCCCAATAGACTGGCTCTCGTGCATTGCACGGATTATACACAAGAGAATTGAGTGAAGCATCTTAGGCATCAATATTTAATAATAATAATAACAATAATAATACCACTACATTGAAGACAATTCTAGAAGTATATCTACTTTTCCCCCTTAACTTACATTTTCCAAATGTACAATCAATATAAAAAAAAACAATAAGATTTGATATAAAAAAAAATCATGGTCAAATCTTAAAAATAAACTAACTACATATGATCATTATGAATGATGTGGTAGAAGTATTTGTATGAGAAACCATTAAATTCATACATTAATAAAAATAACAAATAACGATATATGGTACAAATATCTATTACATGCAGTATGCTCTTCAATTTTAGATCAATTAGTCTTTGTCACTGTCCCGCTCCTTATAAGGTGTTTCCTATAGGAGAATCAATTAAGAAATGAAGAAAATCACTTAAATAGCAAGGAATCCCTTTCTACCCTTTATGCCAATCACCGAAGAAGATAGTTGTTAAAACATTACAACAAAAATATCATGCAAAGCTTACTAATAAGAATGTAAAGATTTCAAATTCTTTTATCCTCAAGTGCCTCTATCTTACGATCACTCCATTATGAAAGAGTAGCATCATTTAAATTAGTCCAAACAATTTTAAAAAAAAAAAAAGTCAATGAATATGAATCTGAGTTTTTAATGCTTAATAATAACTATATCAACTAATTGTTTTGATGTCAATGATTATACAACTCATTAGTATACACAATTAATATGATACGAATAAATTGGGGAAAACTATACAAATTCTGCAGTGTTTAGTACGCAAATCAAAACATACGAATATGTTTTCTTATTAGATGGATTCAGTTAATAAATTTATTTAGTAAAAATACTTAACATTAAGAATCTTAAGGTTAATTTGTATTGTAAATAATTAAAATTACCCTTAGTAAAACACGATCATCTTTACTTGTGAAAAGTGTCTTGATTAAGTTGATCTAATTAAATATTATTTAATATTTTATTTTTGCGTTTCAATTACAAAGCTGTTGAAGTTTGTGATGTGATGTTATTTATTTCATTATTACGTAATAATTTCCAATACTCAATAAATTCATAAAGAAATTATTTATGCATAAACAACACAGAATATAAGGATTGTAATAAAGGACTTTACATAGGTAAATACATTGTTATTAATGATATTGATACTAACAATTCAACATTGGAAAACATTTTTCCTTAATAAATACCCGCGAACGAATAGATATGTTATAGGATAAGGAAAAAAATTGTTTATTCTTAATTTGTTTACAATTCAATATTCCTGGCTTCTTAATTTGTTTATTCTGGCAGCCTTTCTTTTCTTGACCAGAGATGTCAATGATCTGTTTTTTTTTTTTTTTTTATGGGAGTAGTCAGATGTTAGTTTAATGAAATTAGTGCAAAGAACAGAAGAATAAAAAGAACCATACCATTGTTATTGGCCATTGCATAGCGTTGGTGAAGACAGTATGATTCAGGAACACATAGATGGGGAGACTGTCATGACAGGAAGTTCCCTATAGAGACAGTGTCAAATGTAGTTAGGAAGTACTTTCTAACTATTTACAATATGATAATTATACAGTAACTATTAAATCATATTTAAAATGCACAATTTATTGGTCGAGTTGACATATAGGTTCTCATTAAATGCAAAGCCCACTGAAAAAGGTTGCTCTTCCCAAGACTAATATAAAGAATGTTTTAGGAAGATGCCTTGATATCATTCTCCATGTCTTGGGAAATATCTCTGCTGCTTTTTCTTATTAAATAAAACTGATAATTGAATTTGAAAACTTAATTCTGATGGCTTAAAGTACAATGAATAGATGAAATTCATTTCTTAAATGAAGATGATCTATTTAAAACAGGGTTCTTCATAACTCTTTCTCTTTCCCGGTTTGTTGTGATCTCTGAGAATGTTGATAGATGGAGAGGGTCATGTTTCACACTGAGTTGTTGTTGGAGGTTGTAAGTGAATAGTTGTTGTTGTTGTACAATGATAGTCATATTCTCATTCTAATCTGTTAGGGCATCATGAATGATTAAATGAGGGTGTGTCTCTTACTATTATGTATGAGTTATTTTTCAGCTAACTTGCATGAATTTTTTGTACTGTTAAGCATTCAATTATGTTACTGTGAGTCTAATAATTCTTAAACTTTAAATGTTTTGAGTTTGATATCAGTGTATGTAATAGGATCGATAGAATTTAAAGTTTAGTTTGGTTCGTGAGGACATGTACATCCTTTTCACTTACTTCCCCAAAAATGGCACTGTCGATAGTTTAGATTAATTTCATTCCTTTATGTATTATTTGAATTGTGTAAGAGATGTTTTGAGTACAATTTCTGATAGAGTTGCGGATTTTATTCAGTAAAAATACAAAAAATATTTACCTATCATATATAATTATTTATAAGTTATAAAAATTTTGACAATCATAGAATTCCTTTTCTTACTATTCATTTCAGGAGCAGAAAATGACTTTGGTGTAGCAAATTCTAGGTCATCAGAAATACTAGTATTAGTATATTTCAGGTTGCTCTTGGAACTGGAAGACTCACTTAGAGAGGAAAGGAGCTGATCATTGTCAAATGAGGCGAAAATAGAAGCCTATATTGAATCCATTTTATAAAGAAAAATCAAATCAGAGTTGGTTAAAGGACTTGTTCTAACATATTAAGGATTAAATTAACCCCCACCTGTGGTTTGATCACATAAAGGGCAGGATCCTTTGAAACCCAAATGAGCAACAATTTTGTAACACAAATGAATGATAACAAAATATTGTTATATATCCAAAATATAAAGATCACATAATGATACCTGTGCTTTGGAGTATGTAGACTTCTCCAGGATCTCTGGGTCATCACAGCATTGAGACACACTAAGAGAAGATGTTTTATGCCGAAGGTTGAATTCACCGATCTTGACCTCATGACCATCTCTCTTCCAGTAAGAATATGAAGTGTTCTAGGGAAATATCTTTTCCTTGAACTCCGGGGAAAAAATATCGTATACACATGAATCCTGTAGGAATTGATAGTATCAACTTGTCTACCTGTCTGATGAAGGATAATTTCTGATTAAATTATTCTGCAAACCTAAGCAAGCAACTCTTGAACAGTTTTTTCTGATTAAATTATTCTGTCATCATTATAAAAAACCTCAGTAGCATCACCATAGCTTGAAAGTTGAGGATTGCCTAGAAGTGAAGGAAATAACATTTTAAAAAATGCTGGGCTGATAAATTAAGAATGAAGAATAAGGAAAAATAACAGATTCACCTTTGTAGAATCCCAAAACACACATTTGGATGATGACAACAACTACAGGAGGCACAATATCTGAATTCTTGTCATTCACAGCATTCAGAGTGGTGTCACCAAACAAAACAACGTCTAAAGGTTTTTCTCCAAAATGAAAAATAAGTTAGGATTAAAGGATATCATAACAGTGGCACTTGCATATATTATTCTGGATTTGATAAAGTACCAACTCCTGATCAGCTATAGATAGTGTTCGCCTCTTTTTGTTCTAAATCCCAGTCTTGTGATCGTGGATGGAACTGAACCACTGCAAAAACCCCATAACATCTGCAACAAACAACTAAACATTAAAACAGAGAGAATAATGAAAAAGATACCACAGAACTTGTCAAATTAATAAAAAACCACACTGCATAAATGTTGTTCATCCATCAAACATATCCTGTTATCAACATCGCTCAAGTTCAATTGAAAAATTCATATCTTTATGTGTTCTTATCTTTTTCGTAAGCCATTGTACAAGTTCAATTCTAAATGAAGCAAATCTTAGAAATGGTGAAAAAAAGTCATTGCAATCACATGATGAACTTACTCCGTAGATAGGCATCTTAAAGATTCCTCAGGTCTCAGGGTTGGTGTCACTTGGCAATAAAGAAAACCCGTTAATGTCAATGCATATGCAACCACTTTGCCCAGAAGTAGCAAGACATTTGTAGATTTGCTGAGAGGAGAGAGGAAAAATAGTTTTGAATCAACTAACTTAGAGTGCACATAATTTTTTTTTTTCTGAGGACAATCAATAGATAGGCATCTGCATGATGAATTTACTCCATAGGTAGGCAGCTTAACATGTCAGCGTTGTTAGTCATGAACTTGAAATTTTGTAGGGACTGCATATTTGAGGTTGTACGAAAAAACGAAGCAAATGACTGAGTTAATGATTAGTTCCTTCAAAAAAATTTACAGATAGATACATACCAGCAAAAATAGACAATAGCTGAAAAAATATACCTACAGACTCAAGTAAGGGGCGTCATCAGCACAAGTTATGATTCATGAATCAAGAACTGGAACAAAGAAAAAAGGCGAAGAGCACAGGTAATAAGTAGTAGGAAAATAGAGACCCAAAAAATGAAAACTTTTGAAACAATAATGATAATGGAAAAATAATATGAAGAATATAAGGAAGGAACCTGCTGAGCGGTTGAGATGAAGAAAAATCTCTCCTCTCAGGCTTATTGTGGCCAAAGATGGCCAATGTCTCTTCAACAGGTGAGATGAAGCAAAATCATGGAACAAAAAGCGACAGCTAACCTTTCTCGGCATAGAAAAGAGAGAAGTGGGGACTGTGTCGGCTAAAACCTAAATCAAACTTCTGAAAAAGCAAATGTACGGTCGCCTCCACCGAGGGCTTTACTCCCGGTAAGTTGCATCGCCTTTGCAGAGCAATTCAAGCAAAGTCACATAAGCACGAATTTCCACACATATTAATCAAAGAGCAAGTGACAGTTACCTAATCATTGAGGGAAATTGCCGCTCTGAGAAAATTGCTGCACCCGCATGTTGCAGAAACGAAGAAATCAAATAGAGAACAAATGAAAGAATAATCAGAGAAAGAATTCAAAATTCAAAATAGAAGATAAGAGGCGCCAGTTACAATGAATGGAAGAGAATGAGTAAGTGAAAGAAGAAGAATCGCAGGAAGCCGAATGGACGAGCAGAGTTTTCAAGGTTTTTTTAAAAAGAAAAAAGAAAAAGAGTTGCGAAGGAGGGCAACGGTTCGAACAAAAAGGGCGAAAGAGAAATAGAAAGAGAGAGAAATTATACATTATATTCAAAATAGAACATGTAATAAATGAATCCAACCAATAAGGGATGAGGAAAATTCCAACCTGTCCAATAAGAGATCACCAACATCTGACCCATGGACTGCGTTTTACGAGATTTGTATATTAAAGGTTGAGTTGATGACATTGGTTAATTTCTATTCAAACTCAAAGCCTTGATATCAATACAACTTGTTAAATTGATCGCAAATTATTACTCTATACGTATTAAATTATAAAATATTTTTAAATAAAATTTTACATACTAATAAACCTTATTAAATATATTAACAACTTTATTTTTTCAAAACAAAAGTATAAACTTTTCAAAATATCCTTCATTTAATATATTAAAAAAAGTAACATAAATTAAATATAAATAGTGAAAGGATAATATTAAAATAAACTTATTTAATAAAATATAAATTTTTTCAAAATGTCTTATATTTTTGGATATCGAATCTTTCCTAAAAATATTTTATAATTTGAGACAGAGGGAATACTAATTAATATTGATTATTGTAGCTTTTTTTTTATTGTCATTGTGGTTTTTAGCTTAGAATTTACTCCCTTCAATCCCTATTATACAACACCTACTAAAAAGATTTTTTTGATCCTTAATACAAAGCACTTGAAAGAGTATTAGTTATGTTTTTCCAATAGAATTCATTAAATAATAACTATGAGTGATAATATAATGCAAATTTAAAAATTTTAAACTTAAATAGAGATAAAATTAAAAATTTATTTTATTTTTAAATAAAATTAATAATTTAACCATCTTTTATTGGCTTTGGTGAAGTAGTTAGAGATTCTATCAATCTTAATTGTTTTAAATTCACCTATCTTGGTGTCAAAGCAAAGCCTATTCCAATTCAACCATTTCAATTCGTTCATTCTCATTCTTATTAGCTTTGTCATTTTAGTTTATCGATTACATGGCTATTCTTCTAGGTTATGGAACCGTTGCTGAAAGTCTTTTTTAACAGGTACCAAAAGTGCTTTCTGCACTAGTGAATGGCCAATTTCAACAAAACCAAGAATAAAGACTTCATTGAGAATGATTCTCCCACCTTCCTCTCTCCACCGGGATCGTTTTCTTGATTTCTTCTTCCATGTTGTTCCTAATACACATTTAACATGAATCCCATGATGGTCTGTTTTAACTTTGGCCTAGATAGCATTGTGGCCTCAGCAAGATTCAGTTGGAAACATTCATTTAGTAATAGAGATACATTAGTTCTGTACTATTTAGCACTTTCGGTAGCTGAAATTCTTTAGCTCCAGCTTGGTTTGGATGAAAAAAAAGAGGGAAGAAAATAGCAAGGAGATAAAATTAGAAGGAAAATTTTCTAAAAAATAGTAATTTTGCATTATTTTTAAGTAGTATTCCCTCTTAATTTTCTTTCCTCCTTATTTTACTCTTCATCTATATGAAGGGACGGTATGTCTGAAGGGTTTTGAATGGTATCAACCTCAGATGATGCATGTTATTTCTGTTGAGATATTTTCAAAATAAAAAGATGTTGTCATGCTCAGATTGTGACTTTCCTGAAAAGGGAAATCGATAAATGCAAGAAAATAGGAGACACCACTAAACTTTTTAGGAAAACCTTAAAAAATCTATAATGAAAAATGGTGGTCTATGAAAATAGGTTTAGAAGTCGATTATATGTGAAAAAGATATTAGGCACCTCACGACAGCCGTTCATGAAAACGGTTACCCTAAATTGATTATATAAAATTAAATTGGCATTTTAATCATATCTTAATTACCCTTTATTATAATCACAAACAAAAACAAAAATAAAAAAATTAATCAAAACAAATTATTTATTTATATGGAAAGAATTGACCTAGGACATATGTACCTTGTGATAGGAATGAAAGTCCACATAGTTCGGGGTATTAGTATTTAAATCTTTAATTTCTTAATTTTTGTAAAAAAGGAATATAGTTTTGGGTTAACCTTTATTAATATAATTATATATTTATTATTTTAAAAAAACTTATTCCTAGAAAGTACTTTGGGTAAATAAATAAAATTTAACTAGTATTGAAACTTATGGTGACTTATTATCACTCACAGTCCGCTGATTGACACTCTAAATACGGTAATTTAGTATCATTCATGAAAAATCCTAGAAGAATAAAAGGAATTTTTAAGAATAATTTTCTAGAAAATAATTCAATAAGGAAATTTTAATACAAAGTTTGATACCTACAATGACTTAGTATTATTTATGATATCTCAATTGACATTTTAGGTGATCTACGGTGATTTAGTATCACTCATAGCATAACCCAAAATATGCTAGCAATTTATTATTTTTATCTATGATGACTTAGTATCATTCATAATATCTCATTTAATGACTTTAGAGATCCATGGTGATTTAATATCACCTATGAAAGCCTAAAATATGTAAATAATTTTATTATTTTTACCTGTAATGACTTAATATTATTCACAGTATCTCGTTTGATGATTTTAGAGATCTATAATGATTTAGTATCACTCGTGGGAACCTAAAATATGAAAATAATTTTATTATTTTTACTTGCGATGACTTAGAGCCATTCATAGTATCTCATTTGATATTTTAGGGATCCATGGTGATTTAGTATCACCCTTGGAATATAATGAACAATAATATTTTCTTTTAGGGTTAAAATCAAATTTCATTTTTATATTTATTTTTTAAAAGTACTGGGTATTTTATACTCTTAAATAGAACAATTTTTTTCTTGAACTAATTCTTTAAGGACCAAAAACACATTTCTGCTGCAAATCTGTTATCTTCATCGTTAGTACGATTCGACTTCTTCATTCTTCATTCATTTTCATTCTCCTCAGGGTGAGTCGGCGAGGTCATCACTGAAGCCATCTCTGAGCTCCTCAGCCCCAAGGTCTCCTCCTCCTCCTCACCATTCAGTTCCTTTCCTCCAATCACAGCCCCTTTATCTCCTCCCTCAGCCACACTCATGATTCCAAACTCCTTCTCACTTATCATTCACAATTCCAAAGCTTCGGCCTCCAAGTTCATACTTCCTTTATGGTTTCCTCCGGGAACGTTCATGATGTCATCTGTTGCAGCTACTTCAATTCTTCATCTTCTCCTTGAGCTCCAAATCTAGCGTCTACTTGAAAATCCCAAGTCTTCTCGTCTCCTACACCTCTGTCGATCTGTTCCTTGTGACTGCAACTCTATTTGTGGTTTTTGAATGATGGTAGCAATCGTTTTGTTCTGAACTTATGATCATCTCTTGTTGGGGGTTCCATTTTCTTTCTTATCCCGTGGATTGTGAGTTAATTTTGTTCATTAACTGTGAGCTTGATACCTGTTTCCTTGCCGTAAGTTAATTCTGCTTCTCTTCATAAATTTTCTTTTTCTGGCTTTTGGATTGTGCAATTTCGTTTAGTTTGAAAGCTTGAAAACCTATTGAAAAAGCAACAAGCTCTATAATTTGAAGTGTTTTAGATAATTTGAACATTGTGAGCTGAGTTATTAATCAAATAGCTTTGAGCTCATTCCACAGATGACTCCAGCCTTTGACCCTTGCCACCGGCCACGTCTGAGTTCCTCTTACGGGCAAGGTTCGAATGGATTCTGGAGCTATTTGCCTAGATTGAAATGAATTTGTCAAAAAATAAGATGCCACGGCAGAAGGTCAAAGCTTAAGTGTGTTTGATTTTTAATTTGTCAAAAGTTCATTTGGTGAAAGTCCATTTGGTGAAAGTTAATTTAGTGAAAGTCAGTTGTTGTAACAAAATTTGTGTTTGGATATATTTCTTCAAAAGTTAGTTTGACACACTAAAAGTTGTTTGGTTTGTGATAGTGAAATATGCTTTTGAATGTACAATTATCAAAAAGAACATTAATTTATGATGATTTGTAATTTTTATTATACAAATGTAATATGTTTGAAATATTTAAAAAATATGATAAAAATTTTAAATAACATAAATTTTGATATATAATGCTAAAAATTTAATCTCTAGTTATTTGTATTTTTTTAATTTGTAATTTTAAAAAATGTGATAAAGATTTGTAATTTTTATTATACATTAATGCTAAAAATTAATATGATTAATTATTTAATTTAAAATGCTAAAAACGTGATGCCTGATTATTAGTATTGAAATAATAATTATATTTTTAATGAATTAAATATTTTTTAAGTAAAAAATAAAAGATTAAATTTGGGATAGTATGGTCAAATAACATTCTACTTTTCAAATATACTTTCCAAAAGCTTCAAATAATTACATTTTAAAAATTCACTTTCAGTTGCTATTGTTTGAATGTACTTTCAAGATATACTTTACTGCAAAATATTTCACAATAACTTTCAGTTTTTTGAAAGTAAAATTTTGCTTTTTGAACATGAAAAGTAAGAAAACCAAACGCACCCTAAAAATTGGATGCAAAGTTAAAAGATAATGGGCCTCATGTCACGACAGATCATCATAAAATAGAATAATAAATGGCTTACTAACTGAGGGATAATTTTGCTCCTTCAAAAATTAGCTCAGGGAGAAAATTATTTAATTTAAAAGTATAGAATGCCCAACTCTTTTAAAAAATAAGTATAGGAATAAAATTAAATCTTAATCCTTTTTATTATATAATAAAATAAAAGAAATTGAGGAAGATGAATGATAGATCCATTAATATATTTTTAGCATAATTAATTGTCTGCTAATCAAGTAAAGGATTGCCTCTAACTGCCATCGAAAAAAAAACCGCCTAGAAGAACGTGAAAAGAAGGAAGAAAAATCGAAAAGGAGCATGAAAAGCAAAGGAACAAAGGGAAGGACTGAGGGGTGAAAATGTTATCATCGTTGGCTATGAAATTGGATCATTGAAAGAAAAAATGAAGAAGAAAAAAAAATACAAAAGAGAATTAAGGGAAAAAATATAAACCCAGCACGCATTGCATCACTAATGAAAGGAGACAAATAAAAAAAACATATCACCCCACAATTTGTCACAATTCAGCAACGCGGGACTTTTTTTGTATCAAGACAAAAATAAAATAAAATAAAATGAATGAAAATTAACTTTACACCATTGTAGTTTCATGATAGTACTTTTTATTTCACACACACTTTCAGAGTTTCTCGTTCCTATGCCTTTTCCTATTCCAATTTTTCTATTTCATTTTTTCTTTCAATTTTTTTTTCCCTCCCGCCTTGTGGCCTACTCTCCAAAATTTATCTCCATTCATTTTTATAGACCCAACTAAAGTTTTTTTCTCTTAATAACAGAATCAATTATATCAAATTAAATTCTCATTTAACTTGTCCTCACCATTATTTCTGATTTTCAAATTTACATTTAATGCATTTAATTTGAAAGAAATATGATTGAGGAAATTTGGGATCAATAAAAAAAGGAAGATTCTTCTTTTAAAATTACATTTTTAATTAATAAAAGACATATTTATTTTTCTTTTTATAAATTTTTTATTCAATTTTTTTATTTTTTATTTATTTTCAATTTACATGTGAAAACTTGGAGAAAACACTATGTTCACAGATATATATCTTTTTGAAAAGTCATGTTCTTATAAATTAAAATTTTTTTATGAAAAGTTATGTAGAGAATTATAGTTACCAAGTCATATCTCTTTAAATTCTAAAGGCTCTTTTGGATGGTTATAAAAAAAAAAAACTAAAAGGTTCATGTTATCACTTGGTGAAGGAAAATGTATTTCAAAGAAAAAAAACTTTACATATTAAAAAGGATAATGTTTCTTTTCATGGAAAGTTATTTTAACATTAATATTTAATTATTAAACTACATTGGCTTGTGAACTAACATAAGATGTTCATAAATTAATATAAGGTTATTCTTGAACTAATATAAGGTTATAAACTAACATCGGTTATAATTTTTAAGAAAAGTTTCATTACTTAAAAGGTACTACTTCAAGATATTACTTCAGTATTTATAAATACTCCTCCACATCACTCATTTGATACACATCCAAAATAAAACAAAAATTCAACTATTGAAACATTGTCTTTGTTTTTAAGTGCACCAAAGACAAAGTTAAATTATTATTTTATAAAAATTATTACTGTCTTGGCTTGAGTCTCAGCAGCGTGCAAAACATGCTCAATGTTTTTCATTGTATCTTAAGGAAAATTCACAATCACCCAACTTGCACTTGAAGACGATAATAAGTTGGGGCAAATTTAAACCTAAAGGAAAATGATGCCCACACATCTTAAAGACATTTTGCGCAACTTAAAAGGCAATTCCTGCTAGCAGTTTCGGCAACCTTCAGCGCAATAATAACATGGAAGTCTCAAAATCGAAGACGTTGGTTTTGCCCCTCTCAGAGATTCTTGGGTTGCCGTAAGTCAGTAACCTTTGATCCGACGCTTGCCACTGAAATACACATCAACCCAGATAATCAAGAAGGGGAAATTTGTTTTTTCTACTCAAGAGATATAAGCATGTAAATTTTTTTTTTTTTTTGAAGATCATAACTCAACTTTTTTCAAATATCGCAGAACTCGAATAAGGTAAAATAATGGATGAAATAAAAAAAAAAGTTTCAAAAGACCTAATATAATGAGTGGGAAAAGATTAAAATAATAATAATAATAATAAATATGGAGCTCATATTCTTCATGTCTAGTAAATAGTTTGATAGCTTTTATGTTATATTTTTCAACCCAACAACAATTCATTCACGTTTTTGTAATTCTCACACGTATTCTCACTGTTTAATCCAATAAAAATTATTCCATGAGGATATTATGGTCATTGTGGTATATTAGTTTCTCTTTCTCTATCTATATTCATTCATAGTGTTATTCCCAATGCATTCATCTCATCCACCCATCGAATTTGAGTTGGCGCATGGGACAATATTCAAGGATCTCCTTATCAGATAGGCTCTTAGAATTTGCCTTACGAATAATAATTAAAGTGTTTTAAAATTGTATAATAATGCTACACGAAATGATAATTTAATCAGTTGAATTTTTTTTAGGTGTGATTGATCAAATATTATGAATTCCAATTTCTATCACAAGATAATATGTTTTTTTTTAAGGTGGGGTAGTGTTTAATTTTTCCCCAAATGTAGGACCTTTCGAGTGCTCCAAGCACTGAGAAGGCCGGAGATAGAGACAAAGGACCTATCACCTCACTATTGGACACTTGATTTAATTGATACGGGAATTGTACCCACTTAATCATAGGTTTTGAGCTCAAGCTCTAAGAATATAACAACGTTATTATGTAGAGTTTCCACCTGAAAATATTTTGTCCGCTCACGGTCTAGATTAGTCTATATCCCTTTAAAGTCTCTTCAAATTGACATGGGATAAATTTAAGACACCATGTATGCTTTACATAATACTACTACAAAAATAGCTATACTAGATGCCTCTTATTGGATGGTCATCTAGCTATAATCATCCAATATGTATAGGCGAGGAAACATTTTGAATGGTTATAAAGGTAACTATCTAATATGTCTCAATATATTGGATTATTATTTATTGAATCATCCAATATATGATTTCAAATTTTTAATTATTTTATTTTTTAATCTAAAATTCATATTGGATGGTTCAGTATGTTAACTATTTAATATGAGTTTTGTATATTAAATAGTTAATAATATATGATTTTAAAATACCCTAATAGCTCTTTCTTTCTCATTTCTGTATTTTTTTCGGTGTCCTTCCTCTCTTCTTCCTTTCTCTATCGTGCCATCGTCCCCCTTCCTTCTCCATCATTGCAGCTACTAGAGACGTTGTGGGTCGTGTTTCCCTCCCTCTTTGACATCATAAATCTTATTTTCTCCATCATGAGTGTGTTCACAAGTCGTTTTTGCCTCCACTGTTCAACAATCAATCCCATTTTTCTCGTCTTTTCTCCTCTAGCTCAATCTGTCTTATGTGTTTGTGCTATTATGTTGTATTGTTGTTGGGAAATTGTGGGCATGCAATATTTTTGTTGAGGTTTTATTGTATTAGTTTATATTATATAGATTTTTTATTTTCATTGTTGCACACAAGGCTTTTTGATAAAATGCTTGATAGAAAAAATTACATTTGACCAAAGGTTACTTTATGTTTGAAGCTTTCATGGAGGTTTACCATGATTTTTTTGAGTTTAAAATTTAATTTAAAGTGGAAAATGAGTTGGGAATATTAATTGAGGGTCTGAAATATATAATTACAAAATCAAACGAAATGGGATTGCGATTCCAATTGTTCTTTTTGCACTAAGTTCCTCAAAAAGTAAGGGATCGAAGTTTTGAAACATTACTTTCCTGGTTTTTCATGTAATTTCTTTCTTTAGATTATGATGTCACGACTATTCTACTCAACAATTTAGGTTGTCTTTGATGAGGCCAAATCATGCCATTGCTTCTTCAATAAATTCATTCTGGAGAATGACATTTTAGTCCTAAAGAATTGATTTAATGTGAATAAACTTTCAAGAGATTGAAAAATTATTATCAATTCCCAATGATCCTTTTATGAAAAAAAAAAAGGACGGCATTATCCCTCCTTTTATAAGGCAATAATTGATGTGACGTGACTTCGTCCTCTCTCTCTCTACCTGTTGGAAATTTCTATTATAAAATAATAACCAAATTCCAAAATTCTCTCTTTCATTTTTTTAAATCCTTTTTACCACAATAATTTTCAAAACTATGGCTTCTAATTTCTAATCAAAATTTAAAAAAGGTTATTGTTTAAAATTTAAACACAACAACTACTATTAAATATAAATAATCAAATATGTGAGGAAAAATATTTCACGGCTATAAGGTTCAATATGACTTAAAAATAAAAATAAATTTGTGACAAAAATTTTATCAAATTACTTATATATATATATATATTAAAAGTTTTAGGTTATATAACTTGAAAAAGAAAACTCAAAGAAAAATATTACATTTTTAAATAAAAATGAGTTAAAAATCAAGATATAAAAAGTTGTAAATACGAGAACTTTCATTGTGAATCCATGAACAAATAAATTTTTTAAGTGAAAATTTATTTAATATTTTTTCTAATTAAAAACAAAAGGAGAGTTGCAAATCCCTAAGATTGAATAATGCCTCAAGAAAATAATTTAGTATTAAATCATATGATCCTCATCAAATATAGGAAATGGAGTTGTAAATCAAGATACAACAAGGTGCAAATTCAGGGGATATAGTTGCAAATTCCTGTGATTGGAAAAATAATTGTTCAAGAGAAAATTCGATGCTAAATCTTATGTTCCTAAGTAAAAATGATCAATGGAGTTACAAATTAAGGTATAATTAACAAGATATAAATTCTAAGGCATAGCTGCAAATCAATAAAATTAAATAAATAATTTCTCAAGAGAAAATTCAATGTTAATTTTTCATTCCTAATTAAAAATGGGAAACATAGTTGCAAAGAAGGGTATCACAAATTGAAAATCTAAAAATGTGGTGGCAAATTCTTTAAACTGGACAAATAATTTTTCAAGAAAAAATTCTATATCAAATAATGTCTTCACAGTTAAAAATAAGAAATAAAATTGTAAATTAAAGTATCATAAGTTGCAAAGTGAAGAATTGAAGTTGTGAATTCTTGAAATTGAACAAATAAATTCTTAAGAGAAATTTCAATATTAAATCATGTGTTCGCAATTTTTTTTAAAATCAAGACATAAGAAGTTATAAATCCGACTAATTATAAATATAGATTTTGAAATATATAATTACAAATTCAAAATATACTGTAATTTAAAATTTATAACTTGTGAAATATTTTTAAAAAATTAGTTAAAGGGGGTGAAAAAGGTATTTAATAATAATTTTATCCTTAAATTTTAAATAAAATTTTTTTTGTTAAATTTTGTTTAGAAATTGAAGGGTAGAATTTTTAAATTTATGGTGACAAAAGAAAAAAAAAATTGTACGCACAGATAGGAGAAGGAGAGTGTTTTGGAATCTAGTTAATATTTTATAATAGAAATTGCCATCATACATTACATGTGATTGTGAGAGGAAGTCAGGAAAGGACGGAATGGGATCAGCTACAGAGAAGGATAATGCTGTCTTCTCCTTTTTCATGGAAGGGTCATCGGGACTTGGTGAGCATTTTTCAATCTCTTGGAACTTTGTTCGCATTACATCAATCCTTCGGGACTAAAATGTTATTCTCCCAACTCATTAGCCTTGTTAATGTCTTTTTGCAATTCCTTCAGTCTCGCGCTTTTTGCCATATCGTTCATTTGCTCTCTCTTAATGGAAGCACCAAATGAAATGATCAAATAAACACAGGGCAACTGGTAGAAATATTGCTACAAATACATCAAGTTTAATAATCATAAGCTTGTATTGCATGAAATGAGCTAAGCTTGGAAATTGACAAGAAGGAAGATTTCTCAATCATTCCACACCCCTTAATAACCAACTTTGTCTTTATTATAATCCTTCAATCATAATCTAGATCACATAATTTCCATACCCTCTTACATGTATGTTGGCTCCATCTAACAGTTTCTTCAGCCTGTAGCATGTGTGTTGTAATTGCAGTTTGAATGTAATTGTTGTTCAAAATATATATGCTAATGGGTGCTTTGGTTTTTAATTTGCTTCATTATTTCATCATATTTACATGAAAAAATTTGGGTTTGCTTCAGTTTTGGAGCTCCTGCGCTCGTGCTTGGCTGTGGGTCTTCAACTCATTTGATTGTAGCAAATATGTGCTCCTGCCTGTTTATATCGTGGTGAGTTTTCTATGCTAATTTTTTTTTTCTCTAAATTAATTCGTGGTAAGCAGAATTTTTGTGTTAAAACTGTTGGAGTTTTGTTGCATTTTTATTTATTTATTTTTTTTGACAATTTCATGACTATTTTTTGTGTATTTTTTTGTTTGAGCAATATGTGAAAGTAATCTAAATTGACACTTTTTATTGTTTGATTGTTTGAATGATGGGTTGCTGAATGGAATTATTGTGCTTATTTGGAATTGTTGTGCTGGATAGAATTGGCTTTTTTTTGTTGTAAAAATTCTCCCATATATATATATATATATATATGTATTTGTTATTAGTTATGTTTTTTGTAACTAAAATGAGGGCAAAATGCCCAGAAAAGTCCCATTTTTATACCATTATGTTGCTGGATTTTACTTTGAGTAGTAATAAAATTTTATAGTTGTATTACTTAGCTTTTAAATCTTTTAAACTCTATTGTTACTAATTTTGTTGCTATTAGGATTAAGTTGAGTTAGTATTAGGTTACATTAGACAATACACAGATTAAATTCAATGAAAAGAGAGGGCAAAATGTCAAGGAAAGTTTCATTTTTAAGTTGTTATGTTGCTAAAATTTTCATTTAAGATAGAATACTTATAATTAGTTTAACATAATTGTA